ACGTAACGTTAACGTAACGTAACGTAACGTTAACGTAACGTAACGTAACGTACGTAACGAAGTAGAAGAGAGAGAGAGAGAGAGAGAGANAGGGGAGAGAGAGAGAGAGAGAGCTGGAAATCGATTTCTTTAAAAGAAAATTCGGTCAACGTCAATCGTCCATTTTAAGAACACAAAATCAAATTTTCTTTTGTTTTCGAATTGTTCATTTAGTGATGTCGAGAATAATTACAAAATTTGGGGTCAAACAAAATCCACCTATGGCCTCATATAACATCAAATTTTCTTTCCTGAAAGCTCATATTCGTTGCATTTTCTCTCTTCTCAAACTTAACAAATTTCCTTTATTTTTTCAGATTTCTTTAAGATCTTGTTCATTGGGATGGATACAGATCATTTACAAAATCTGGCTTCGAACAAATCCCCTTAGATATTTTTTTTGGGAGTTTTTGACTTGTCAGCTAATGCTATATAAATTAGCTTGAGGGTGTATACATACTTCCCCATGCGTTATGTATGTTAATCACATTGTAGAGCAACATAACCATGAATTCCACTTTGGCCGATAACTTGGCTGTTGTATTATGTTTATTGCTATGTTTGAGAAACCAGAGAATGGCCAAGTAACACACAATGCCAAATAGTCTATTCAAATCCAGACTTATAGGCATTTGAATGTGCTGCGAGCTCCAGACTAGAGAATGAGGAAAATAGAGAATTCCTATTAATTAGCCTGAAGACTATGCATGATCCCATGATAACCACATGTAGTAATCAAGGATTGCTTGAATTTCAGCAAACAATAACAAAATGTCATATGGCTGGAAGATGGATACTGCTTCCCACAACAGTCAGGTCACCAACTACTTGCGGATATAAGTCATCAGTGAATCTACCAGTTTTTTGGTTTTTTTTTTTTTATATAGGTTAAAAGGTACCAGTTAACAGTTTGAGAATCAGTTAAGACAAAAAACCTATCAATATTTTGATTGCATGTCAAATAAATAGCCAAGAAAATTAATGTTTAGTTCACAAGATAAAATGGTAACCAGAAATTTACTAGGAAAATAATATTTATGTATAAAACTAGCAACCATGATCGGACGTTGTGATAACAAGAAATGCCTCATTCATTTCCTCCTGTATAACTAGGCCGCCACCAACGCCCTCCCCAGACATGCAGCGCATGAAGACAGACATGGGGGATATTGCAATATAAACAGGCAACCCACCTTACTTTAGTAATATGCTCACCCCTCTGAGAGCATTTGTGTACGGGAAGAAAGAGGATTTTGTTATGGCATTTGGTATAAACCTTATTGAGCTTTCACTTAATCTATTGGGAAAGCAAAGGAAGATCTTTTTTTTTTTTAAGGAATGGAGTAGAAGCACCAAAAGTCCCCCCAGAATGGAATGTTTCTAATATAGATCAAAGGAGCAAATCCCAACACTTGGTATTGAAGAAATGAACGAAATTCGATAGTAAGCTCTACGGAACGAAAAGCAATGATGAGATAAAAAATGCAGCCTAAAATCAGATGAAATCAGCATCGATATGTCACTTTCTTTTATATTATCACGTTGTCATTGAGCAACTGCTGTCTCCAAACAGGCACAAAAATAAATTGCTTCTGAATTCTAAACCATGCTCCCAACATGACCGAACTCAGCAAAATCACAACACAACAACAATGGCAGATAAAAATAAAAATAAAAACAAGCAAAGAGAATTTTATCGATAGCGAGTGAGCGAATTGAATGAATCACCTCTTCAATCCTGTCTTGTCGGAAAGCCCAGTTAGCTTTTCGCATGAGATCAAGCACTTGACTTAATCGCTCTGAAGGAATGTTCATCTTATTCTCCTCCATCTACCCCACAACCCCAATATCAAAATTCACAACAACAATAATCATAGACAGTAAATAAAAAGGGCGGGCGAAACAATAATAATAAACAATAAATAACAAGTATGAGAGAGAAGCTGCAAATTTTTTTACAGACCCAAATGAAATCTTCAATGTCGTCAAATGCCAAGGTAGCAGAAGAGGAAGAGGAGCGGTCATTAGCAGCAGCCATTCGAATCGAATTGCGACGCTAAGAGATAAAGAAAGAGAGAGAGAAAGCGAGGAGAAATTATGAAGAGCTAAAGGATGCAGCACCCCGAATTTGCAGAGAAGATTGTTCTTCTCCTCCTCCTTTTCTTGGCTTTCTCCATGTTTGTTCATGTAAGAATGCAATGGCTGGCTCTGCTTTCACGACGTGGCCGTCCAATGTGACACACACACACTAACACAAACACGCTACGCTGCTACTCTCTCTCTACCCTGCTTCTCTTTCTCTCTCTACGCTGCTCCTCTCTCTCTCTCTTCCCACCCACCACACTGAGTGTGTCCCTCGGATAAGGGCGGCGCTTTTGTTTTTTAAAAAAATGAAGGGAAAATTCAATGGGTCATCACAAGCGACGATCTCGTACAGCGTCCACATGACATATGGAGTCATATGGAGGCTTACATGGTGGACAACAAGCAGTTATTAACGGTCACGATTGAATCATGCCTTCCGATTGAAGGTGTGAGCCGGTTCAAATAGAAGGTGCGACTTGGCTCAGGAGGGGACGGCTCTAAGGGTAAGTTTGTTCAAATAAAAGGTGTGAGTTGATTCAAATAGAAGACTCATATATAAATCCAAAAGAATATGGTTAGAAATAGTGAGAAAAAATATACGATTTTATAATCTTAACCAGAGTACTACCCCTCCTGTTAGTAACTTTAAATGGTTGGAAAAACGATCTAATGATGATTACGGTTGAATCACTCTCATCCAAAAATGAAATATGAATATGATTTTTTATTTTAATTTAATTTAAAATATATTAATCTGTATTTTAGTTATTCTTTATATAAATATTTTTAATTGTTTTATTTATAAAAATAAACATAAAACCTAAATTTTAGGTAAATATTTTATTTAAGTAAAAATAAAATGTAAAATTAATATTTGGCTATTAAATATGGCCTTGTAAAATAGCAACTACTAAAATGGTACTTGTACATCCTTACACCCATCCGCATGAGACGGATAGGGTACTTTCGCTTTATAAAAAGGAGATTTTTGTAAAGTGGCGATCAATAAAAAAAATTATGGACACCATTTGACCCAACTTTCTAGGTATCCTCCAATACTTTTTAACCCACATTATTAACTTTAAATTTTCATTTGCACCTACTCTCAATAGAAGAAACATTACTTTTGTTTTAAACCAAAATATCCTACTTCTTAATTCAAGTTTTTATCTCTAGTCTAAGGATCCCACATGATTTTTCTCTCTAACCAGTTTGGCCCATTTTAGTGTCGGACCAAACTTCCTTGGGGCTTTTAGTCGATCCGATACATTTTGTGTCAAATTAGCCATCAAGGCCGGACCGGCTTCTTAGGGGCCAAAAGTTGGTCTTGCCGGACTATCTTCTTGGGGAATAGCAGCCTATCTAGGACACAGTGTGTTTTACCACATTAGAGATAGAAATTATGTGTGTGGGGTTAAGTGGGGTCTTTAGAGAAGCGATAAAAACTTGTGTAAAAAGTAGGGATATTTTGGTCCCAAAAAGTTAATCTTTGTATTTGGGGTACTTAAAAATAAATAATAACAATAATAAAGAAAATGACCTTGTGAGACCCTCCCACACTCATGTGTGTAGGATCTCAAATGATCACCGTTAAATTTGATACGGATCTCTAAAAAAGTTAGTCCAAAACTTCTATCTATCCAGGCCTTCGAACGATAGCTCTTTGAGGCTCAAAGATCCGCGACGGTCTCACAGGAATCTGCACAGACCGTAAGCAGATCCCCGACGAGCAAAGGAAATCCAGGGACAAACCCTCCAGGGGAAGGATCCAGCTCAAAGACTGGATCGCAGAACCCAGTTGACCCCTGGTCGGGTCCTCTGGACAAAGGTCGCTTCACCCCAAGAGACCCACCAGAAACTCTTGGAAGAGATTGACCACCTCTGCCAACTCCTCTAGCTTCCTCCCAGCAAAAAACCAGAGGAAGGAAGCCCGGACCAAAAGAGCAGAGGAGGCGAAAGCAGCTATTGCTAACGGCAAGCAGGGCCATGAACCCGTAAATTCAGATAAGATCCAGGGCTTGGGTTGCCGAGCAAAAAGGCAATCCATCAGACGGCATT